CCATTCAGGCTTTAGCCTGGGTACATGATACTCAGATGCCAACAGACAGGGAGGCGGCGGGGCGGGGAGGTGGGGAGGCAGCCAGACCCTTTGTGTACCCTTGTGTAGCCCTCCTCAAGGCATGTGCAGGGCTCAGCACAGGAGTGCACTGAGTTTAAAGTAAAGTGCTGTTTTTCTTCTTTCCACATCTGCAAGCAGTCACAACTGACAAACTGTCAGCTGAAAACAACACAGCACCAGTGAATTTAGGGCCCAGCCCCTGCAGTCGCTTTGCTGTAAAACCTACTGGCTGAAGCCACTGAGTGTTTAGAGCAGCCCAAGCAGGGGAACGCTCGGATTTTGAAAATGGGGGTGCAGATGGTGTGGTATAACACAACTCATATTTTTCTTCAGTTAAGGAGAAACTAGAAGCTTTACTAATATGCTGGGAGGGCGGAGGCTATGACTAGATCAAAGCAAAAATAAATATAACTATTGGAATGTGCACCAATTTGCTAGAATATATATTAATTAAAAAAAGTAATAAACTAAGCAAAAATAGTCAGACAGTCTTGTGTCACTATCCTGTAATCATTATAGTTAAATGTACATTTCATTCAGATTCGGTATCTTGGCAGTGCCTCCAATACTTCAGCATCAGTCATTTCTACATCTGAGTTAATATTACCACACCTGAGATAAGGTTTTAAGCTAGAGCTAAAACAGCCTGGAGTGCTGTGAAACAGGAGAGAGACATTACCAGGAATGACTAACAGACAGCACAATTGCAGAAGAAAGTTAGCTCGACCAATAGAAAATCAAGTACTATCCAGCCAGCAAAGCACACGCCTGCCAAGGGGGAAGGGGAGCCTCCAGGCTCTGCAGCAGGAAATCTTTTTGTGGCACATTCATGGATTGGAAATGGAGCCCAGTGCCCCCTCCTGAGGGAATGCCCCTGCCATGATGCTAAAGGGCATGAGCTGTCTGCCCTTTGCCCCAAGGATCATTACTGGGAAGGATGCATGCAAAGCAACAGGGAAACTGAGAGCCCTGGGTGGGCCGGGAATTCTTATAGGAGTTATGGGCTTGTGTCCTGTTAGGAACAAAGAGGGCTTGGAGGCCTGGGCTTCAAGAGGCTGCAGCAGTGCCCCAGGTCCTGAGTCAGCAGCAGGAGAAGGGACACGTGCTTCTGCTGCTGCTGAGCTTTGGGAGAAAGTGCTAGCTGAGGTGCCACCCTCCATCAAAGGGCACTTCTCTCAGCATCCACCATTCAGAGGGGATAGTCCTTTCAGAGGGGATAGTGTCCTTTCTCCATCAAGCCAGCTTTTCTTCCAAGGGGAGAGTTTCTTAACATTATGTGCGCTTCTTACCAGTCGCTTAGGTGCAATAAAACTGCATGTTCCCCTGTCTGACTGTCTGTGCTTCTTTTTTTTCAAAGGAGAGAAAATGCCTGTCTTTGGATGGGATCGGGGGGCAGAAGTGGGATCAGCAGGGCACAAAATGGGCAGGGGCAGGGCACTGGCATATCACTGCCCCCCTTCCTCCCCCACCCCATCATATTCCCTGTACCCAACTGAGGCCAGCTCTCCTTTTTTGGACCCGGAAATATGGTAGCTTATGCCAGGGGCTTCCACAGTTGAGTTCTAAATTTACCTCTGTTCTGTAGAAGTTTGTTAGTCACTTTTTGTAAGACTCATCTGAAAAGCTGAGCCATGATCATGAGTGAAAGCTCTATTTGTTTTAAAGAAATCAGTCAGGGTGCACTGATAAGTGAGCTCCTCAGCACAGTATGGCAGCAGAAGTGTGCTGGGGGCATAACCCAAGGGTCAGTGACTCAAAGCCATTCTTGGCTAGATTGCTTTTTGGTGACTTTAATGCTTCAAATAATTTTCCTTGCTCCTGTTCAGTCTAAAGGCAAAAAGAGAAGCTAATTTCCTTGTGGTAACAATTGTGTTTTTAAATCCTCCTTATTGTCAGGCTCTGACATTGTTGAGCTAACTGTTTACATGCTTGGCTTGGATGGGTTTGCTCTGAGCTTGCTTTCCCCCCCAGCAGATTGTTCCTCAGTTATTCTTTCTTTCGAATTGTTTTGTAATGAGAGGGTTAGTGAGTCACTGGGCTCGTGTATTTGTTGTTGCTTTTTCTGCCAGCCTGTGCATTCTGTTTGTGTCTCTGCTCCTTTCTCTGTTGTCCAGAGAACCGCCCTTCCTTGTTTTCTCTGCTGGGATGGCTTCAGGCTGTAAGGGGCTTACTCCATGAGTGGCAATCAAACCTTGTGCCATCACTACATACATAATGCTGATGCATGCCTCCCCTCCAAATAGTACCAGACAACCAAATGATTGTCCTGAGAATTTGTGATGTAGCTACACTGAAACCCAACACTTCCTACCTTTCTCAAAACCAAGAATAACAAAAGGCTAAGAAGAAAAGTATCAACTCAGCATAGGCAAAGACTATTTCTTGTGTTATTTTAATATCCCTTCACCATCACTTGTCTTCAGACTGAACACCCTTGTTGGTGCCCCTCACTCCTGATCCTCAGCCCCCTGGCGCTGCCAGTGCCCTGCACACCCAACCCCTGACATACCCCTTCTTCCCCTCCCCCTGACTATGGGCACTGGTGCCTCCTGAGTCAGGGGGGCATTTGCCACCTGCAGCGGCCAGTCAGTGACTGAGGGGCAGGGGGTCCCCTTGGCTGATCGCACCAACCGGGAAGTGCTAGTGGCATGCCCAGAAGTGTCAGCGATGCTTCTCCTGGCACCTCACTCCCCAGCCAGAGCTCTCAGGGGAGGCACCAGTGCTCCCACCTGCCCCCCCACCCCCCGCCCATCACCTAACTGGGGAACGCTGGCTGTCAGGGGGTGCACCAGTGCTCTCAGGGCGTGCATATGCACCCCTGTGCACCCCCTACATGTCACCACTGCCTCTGACTGAACAGGTTTTGTTTTCCTTTTTGTGAAAAGGTTTTACATTTCAAAGAGGGCAATTAGCACCTTCTGAGGCCAAGCTCTGTTTCTTCAGAGAAACTGAGGGGTTTTCGCCCCCCCAAGAAAGGCATTTTTGCTCCTTCACTGAAAAAGAAGGCAGGCAGACAGACAGACCTGGGAATATGCAATTTTATTGCACCTGAGCAATTGGTAAGAAGCATACATAAAAGTGTTAAGAAACTCTCCCCTTGGAAGAAACTCTGGCTTGACAGAGAAAGGACCTGGACTCCCTGAGACGAGACAGTGATCCCTGGGTCAGTCAGGGGTCCCCATGGAAACCGTACCAAGCCCAGACAGCTGGGGGATGCTGGGAAATGTAGTCTTGTCATGCAGGGGAGGGCAGCGATATGCCGGTGCCCTGCCTTTGCCCATTCTGTTGCCCCTCAATGCCAAGCCACAGCCCGCCCCCAGTCCTGCTGCTGCTCCTCACTCCTGATCCACTGACCCCAGCCCTGCCAGTGCCCTGCACTCCCAAACCACATCCCCCTGCCCCCCAGTGCCCCTCACTCCTGATCTGCAGCCCACCCCCCTCCCCCAGTGCTCTCACTCCTGACCTGCAGCCTCCTGGCCCCCCAGCCCTACCAGAGGAGCCCCAGCTGTCCCCATCCTGACTGGCCTGGAGTGTGATGGCTCCATCTCATGCAGGCGGCAGCATGTGCCTGGCCCCAGTGTAATATGCATGAAGTGTATATTATATTAAAATACAAGCAGGACCTCTGCCAGGAGGGACAAGGCAATTTGCCACATTTATTGAGAATAGAACAACATTAAAACAATACACACATCAACACACACATATGCACATTCATTCTCCTTCTCTCTGCAGATGTTATAGTTATCAAAGTCAGTTGCTCAATATTTGTTCTAGGTGGCCAGCCTAGGCATATTGAGACCCCCACTGGAAGTGGGGTGTACAGACACGCCTGTGCTTCTGTGAAGTTTGCGGAGTGAGTTCCCACCTTTATGCTGTTAAGTCTCTTCTTTTACAGGGATTGCAAGTCTTTGTTTGAGACTAGGGTACTTTTCCATCGTGCCATGAGGTCAAGCTCATGCATCATTGCCCCAGGTGCTAGTATCAATCAACATGCCTCTGTTATCACAGCATAGGCCGTGTAGGCCTGTGCGAGTTGGCAGTGAGCCAATCCGGCTTCAGATCCAGCTGCTTCAGATGGCTGTGATCCAAGCTGGAGCTCCGGACCAGGTTTCTGCCTTGACCCGGCCGAAGTGGCTCCAAAGCTTCGGAGCGGCCTCGGAGATCCGGCCATAGGGTATAGTGGGGAATCTATGAAATATCTCTAACTTTGTTGTTTTTTGTCCAATTTGGATGAAACTTGCAGGAATGGTAGCCTCTGCTGAAAGCATGAAACCTCACAAGTTTCAGGAAGATTGGTGCAGGGGTTTGGGGGGAACTGTACCCCAAATTCTTGAAAGCCAAACTCATGTCACTGCTGTGTGTTACAACACGGGGGAGGGTGCACAACTGCAGGGCTGGTAGCTCTTACTGAGGCCACAAAGCCTGCCAAGTTTCAAGGAGATCGGTGCAGGGGTTTGGGGGAACTGCACCTCAAGCTGCGGACAAGCAAAACTCGTGCCATGGGTGACACTGCGTGTGTTCAGGCGCAGCAGGGTGACAGCTGCAGGGATGGTGGCCCCTGCTGTGACGCCTGCCAGCTGTGGAGGAGGTCGGTGCGGGGGGGTTGTGGGGCCCTGCACCCTTAGCTGCTGACAGACAAAACTCCTGCCAAGACTGCGTTTCTCTTGGGGCAGTTGATTGTCTGTGTTGATTCTTTCCTCTCCTTAGCCTGGTTTTGCAGGTGCTAATTGATGCTCATTAAGTCGCTATATAGTAGCTAGGTCCTGCGTATTGAGCTGGGCCCTGAGTGAATCGTGAAAGAAATTTGGATGCTTATCTTGCTGGGCTCCTATGACCCCAGCTGAGTTCCTGCCCCTGGGGCAGGGGGCTGGACTCGATGATCTTCCGAGGTCCCTTCCAGCCCTAATGTCTATGAGTGTGCAAGGGGGTGCTCGGGAATGTTGTGGCAAGGCAAACAGCTCCTATCTTGGAGACAGTCCCTTAGATCTCTGTTTCTTTCCTCTCAGCACCAGCTCCAGTCCAGCCTGAGAAGAGACAATGGCACCTCTGTGACTGAGTTCTTCCTGGTTGGATTCTCCCTGCCCCCACAGCTGCGCTTCATCCTATTCACAGTCTTTTTCTTATCTACATTGTCACACTGATGGCCAATGTACTCATCTTAATGGCTATCTGGCTGGACAGTGCCCTGCACACTCCCATGTACTTCTTCCTATTCACCCTCTCACTTTCTGAGACCTGCTACACCTTTGTCATCATCCCCAACATGCTGGCCACCCTGCTGTATGGGGGGAGACCTATCTCCTTGCCTGGCTGTGCTCTGCAGATGTACTTCTTTGCTGCTTTTGCAGGTACCAACTGCTTCCTGCTGGCAGTGATGGGCTATGATCGCTATGTGGTCATCTGCCACCCCCTGCACTACCCAGTGCTGATGAACTCACGTGTCTGTGCTAGACTGGTGGCCACCTGCTTCTTGGGTAGCTTGCTGTATTCAACTGTAGAAATTTCTCTCATTTCACCTGCCATACTACAACACCAACATAATTGACCATTTCTTCTGTGACATCTCCCCGGTGCTCAAGCTGGCCTGCACTGACAGTAGCCTCCCAGAAGGAGTGTTCATCACCGGCATGCTGTTCCTCATTATGGCACTACTACTGATCCTGACCTCCTACATCCTCATCCTCACTGTCATCCTTAAGATCTCCTCAGCAAAGGGCTGGCACAAGGCCTTCTCCACCTGTGCTGCCCACTCGACTGTGGTAATTGTGCACTATGGCTGTGCTGGCATCATCTACCTAAGGCCCAAATCCACCCACTCACAAGAGAAGGACAAACTCATTGCTGTGTCCTACGCGGTTTTCACCCCACTGCTCAACCCCATGGTGTACAGCCTGAGAAACAAGGAGGTGAGATCCGCCCTTCACAGAACAATGGCCAGAATAATCTGCTTCCAGGGGTTATAATAGCAGTCCCAATCTCAGTGGGTGCATCTACATATGCACCCCACTGCACAGTTGGTGCAGTCCCAGTCGTGCAAGGGTCATTTCCAACCACACTGTGTAGTAGCAGTGGAGTCACGGTTAGTGCCTCCCGATACTACATCACCATAGTGATGAGCTATGTCACCATAGGTCATTGCTATGGCTCTGTAGCATCTTATGTAGAAGTGCCCAGTCACACCAGGCCTTGGCAAATCCTGACAGTGCTTAAGGCTCCAAAGTGAAATTCATGACAAATCTGTAGTTTTGCTGGAAGGTGACATACTGCCATCCTCATTCTGCAGGCACTCATAGGCCTGGTAAAAGACACTAGTGGGCCAAGTACAGTGCCCTCAGGGCAAGGGGGGCGGGGGGGTGGAAGAAATCCTACTTCACTGGGAAGTGAGATAGTTCCTGTTGTAGAAACTTGTGCCAAAGACAATGGATTCCCTAGCCTGGCCTAAATGATCTGAGGATTGCCAGATGCAAGGGCAGGGAGGGGGTGTGTTTGGGAAACTGTGAGGCAGGCTGTGAATGGAAGCAGAGGACAGAGCTCTTGGGGTGCAGGACTGGCTGGAAGAGCAGGCTGGGCATGTGTGAGCAGGGAGCTGCCTGCTGCTGTGTGACCCTGCTGTGTCCAGGGAAATGGGCCTGTGTGTACAATTGCTGAAAAATAAATTGCAATGGTGCAATTGCACCAACATAACACTTGACTCAGTCTCCATTCCTTCTACTCATCCAAACAACCCAGTAAGCAGGGAACTACCTGAGCTACTCGTAACAAACAGAGCAGCAAGGCCTGAATCCTACCCTTCTAAATTAACCAAATCTAGGATCAGCCACCAACTCTATCTTGGCACTGGAACCTAATTAGTGTGGACTCTCACAACAGAACAGAGATCTAGAGATGCTTACTTATACCCACCCACACATCCAAGCCCCAAGAGCTAATGGTATAGGGTAATGCAAGACTGAGGTTGTAGCTGTGATGGTCCAGAAATGATGCAAGGCATGGGTTTCTTAGGTGGCATCTTTTATTGGTTCAGCCATGTAGTTGGGATACAGTAAGACAAGCTTTGAATGTAAGACATTCTTCAGCAGGTCTGTGATTCTAGGAAGCCAGGTACAGCAAGTGAAGCACAACATAGGGGAGGGGCTGAGAGAAAGTTTCAGGGGTAGCAGACACACAGCAGAAAAAATGAATCCGATTACTTGGAGATTGACTCCCATATCCCACCTTGGATAGGCCTCAATCTCACCTTCCTTATGTGTAAGGTACTCAGGAACTGGATACAAAAAAAAAAATCCATATCAGTGTTTAGTCTTTGGTTCCTAGTATTCAGCAAAGAATTTTTATTCCCAAATTTGCCTTTTGAAGGTGTTAGGTAGATTTCCCTGGATGTTGCAAAGTGGGGCTCCCCACCTAGCCACAGTGCTAGTTGCCCCACTTGCCTTTGGGCACACCCCCCACCTGACTCACCCACCATACCTTGTTCTTAATTAAGATGTTAATTAAGGCAGGAGGCTGCCCACTCTTGCCCCGATGCCAGGGGGCACTATCTGTAGCTCTGATCCTTCCATACACCACAGCCCAAGCCCCGCAGATGGCATCCAGCTGTTAATTCCAGTGGCCACACACTGGGCCCCAGAATCCTCCAATCAGGACCCCTCTTAGATCCCTCCATTCAGGCAGCCTACTCCGCCTTCATTCGGGCTGCCTAGCTCCCTGAAACTATTTCCCCTCTTGGGCATGGTCCCCCCGGGACCTTTGGCCACACAGGCCCTGGCCTCACCTCGAAGGCCAGTTGGGACCCCAGGCCCTCAGCTCTGGGCGCCCCTGGTCCTTTTTACCATTCTGGTCCTGGCCCCAGCAATGACCAGTCAAGGATACTCTACATCAGGCCTCTGAACCTTTAGCCCCACTCTAGCTCCTGGGTCTGCCTTCTGGCCCTACTAGTGGTTAACCCACCCAGTTGTGGGAACTAAGGTAACTCACACCACAACTGGTGTTCCAGGGTCTCACAGGGCCTCTTACTCCCCTGCCGGAGCACCATGTCATTGTGCTCTCTCTATATAAACATACTGGGCTCTCAGCCCTCTGGTTCCCACCCCCCTTCACTGGGGTTCCTTATCTCTGCCCCACCCCCTCACTTGGGGCAATGGGGCTTCCCTCCCCGGTGGGCTCAGGTGGCCATAGCTGTGCCTGGCCCCAACTACCTCCGGTGTTATGTGACCCACACAAAGGTGAGTGCTAAGGGTTAAGGCACCCCTACCCACCTTTCACTGGGGTGATAACTGGCCTGGCATTTCCTGGGGGTTCCCATGCCACTGGGAGCCCCACCAGGCCACCCACTCCTGGCAGGGTGCAGTTTTAGGCCATGCCCAGGACCAGGAGCCTCCTAACCATCCCCTACAGCTCCTTCCCTTACCTCCAGGACATTCTACAAAGCCTTGCAGCCAGGCACTGTCACTGCCTGGCTTGCCAGTAGCGAACTGCCCTGTTTATATGGGCAGCCAGAGATCTAAAATGGCTGCCACAATCAAGCACCTGCTGGCTGCTTGGCTCCAGTCTTAAAGTGGCAGGCACCAACGGGGCCCTGCCACATTTGAGCAGAAGGATAGTGAGATCAGAGGCAAAGTTGTTGTTGTGTGAGAAATGTGCTTATAAAGGTGAGTGTATGTCTCCATCCTTTATGTATTTTTCTGTGAGTGTTCATTCCTTTGCATAGTTTCTGTTTAATTTCACCCATGTAGTTGCCATGAGGTCACTTGGTACATTGGATCAGATATATCACATTTTGGGAAAGGCATGTGTAGGAACCATGGGTTTTAACCATCACGCCACGGGCGATCACCCAGTGAGGGGGCTGCAGGTGCTTGACCACCTGGGCGACAGTGATCATCGCGTGCTGGAATTCACCATCCAGCGCAAGATGGTGAAGGCCTGCAGCAAGGCAACAGCCCTGGACTTCAGGAGGGCGGATTTCAATGAGGTAAGGAGAATAGTCGGGGAGGCACTGAGGTCCCAGAGGGGAGAGGGATCAGGTATCCAAGAAGAGTGGTCGTTCCTTAAGGAGATGATCCTCCATGCCCAAAGGGAGGTAATCCCAACACGGATCAAAGGGGGCAAGAGGGCGCAAAAGCCCCCAGGGCTCATCAAAAGCATACAGGAATGTCTCCTAGCTAAAAAGGAGGTGTACACCCAATGGAAGGGAGTGGCCATCACCAGGGAGGACTATACCTCGGTTGCTCAGGGCTCTAGGGGGTCGGTCAGGAAGGGCAAGGCAGAGATGGAACTGGGACTAGCTACCTGGATCAAGGACAACAAGAAGTCCTTTTTTAAATACATAGGGGGTAAAAAGAAGGTACTGGGTAACGTGGGGCCACTGCAAGACACGCTAGGAAATCTGGTCATCGCACCAGACAGCAAAGCTAACTTATTTAACAATTTCTTTGCCTCCATTTTTCTAAGCAGGGACCAGGTCACCCCCCCCCACCGGGACCCCCATAGGACCCAGGGGAGGCATACCCAGACCTAGGGTCAGAGAGGACCTAGTCAGGGAACTTCTGGAGGGACTGGACGTATTTAAATCAGCTGGTCCTGACGACCTCCACCCCAGAGTGCTGAGGGAATTGGCAGAGGTCATTGTGGGACCCCTGGCACAGCTTTACGAGCACTCATGGTGCTCTGGCGTGGTGCCAGAGGACTGGAAACGGGCCAATGTGGTTCCCATTTTCAAAAAAGGGAGGAAGGAGGACCCAGGAAACTGTAGGCCAGTTAGTCTTACCTTGATCCTGGGTAAACTTTTTGAGAGAATTATCCTGGCGCATGTCCATGAGGGGCCAGCAGGGGAGATTATGCTTAGGGGCAACCAACATGGGTTCATTAGAGGCAGGTCCTGGCAGACCAACCTGGTGGCCTTCTATGACCAGGTCACAAAATCCTTAGATGCAGGGGTAGCAGGGGACGTAGTCTTTCTGGACTTTAGGAAGGTCTTTGACATGGTCTCTCACCCCATTCTCATTAAAAAACTAGGAGACTGTAGCATCGACACCTACACAGTCAAATGGGTCACTAGTTGGCCGGAGGGCCGCACCCAGAGAGTGCTGGTGGATGGGTCTTATTTGACCTGGAGGGATGTGGGCAGTGGGGTCCCCCAGGGCTCGGTCCTCGGGCCCACACTGTTCAACACTTCATCAGCGACTTGGACAAGGGGGTAAAATGCACCCTGTTCACATTCGCAGACGACACTAAGATGTGGGGAGAAGTGGGCACGCTAGAAGAGAGGAATAGGCTGCAATTGGACCTAGACAGGTTACAGGGGTGGGCGGATGAGAACAGGATGGGTTTCAACACTGACAAGTGCAAGGTGCTGCACCTGGGGAGGAAGAACCAGCAGCATACCTACAGGCTGGGGAACTCCCTTCTTGTCAGTGCAGTCAGAAAAGGATCTTGGAGTCATTATTCAGGCCAATATGAATGTGGGTCAACAGTGTGGGGATGCGGTCAGGAAGGCCAACCGTACCTTGTCATGCATCCACAGATGCATCTCAAGCAGGTCCAAGGAGGTGATCCTCCCCCTCTGTGCGACTGGTCAGGCCACAGTTGGAGTACTGAGTCCAGGTCTGGGCGCCGCACTTCAGGAGGGATGTGGACAACATGGAGAGGGTCCAGAGGAGGGCCACTCGCATAAGCAGGGGTCAGCAGGGCAGGTCCTATGAGGAGAGGCTACGGGACCTGAACCTGCTCAGCCTCCACAAGAGAAGGCTGAGGGGAATCTAGTGACCTGTTACAAACTAGTCAGGGAGGACCAGCAGGCATTGGGGGAGCCCCTGTTCCCCCCAGCACTCCCAGGAGTGACTAGAAATAACGGTCACAAGCTGGCAGAGGGTAGATTCAGACTAGACATCAGGAGGCACTACTTCACTGTCAGGGCGGCTAGGATCTGGAGCCAACTTCCAGGAGAAGTGGTGCTGGCTCCTACCCTGGGGGTCTTTTAGAGGAGGCTGGATGAACACCTCGCCAGGGTCATTTGACCCCAGTACTCTCCTGCCACGGCAGGGGATCAGACTTGATGATCTGCTCAGGTCCCTTCCAACCCTACCAACTATGAAACTATAATGGTTTCTTATGGGAGATACTGATAGTAAGGGCAGTGGAGATGTGCTGACAGGTTAAGCATTTCTGTGTTCCACTTGACATCTGTTGGACAGTGGACAGTTTGCTTCTAATGATGAGTTGGACAAGCTTGGGGGGTCTATTTGAAAGCCAGAAATGGAGGGGCTGGGAATTTCTCTCTCAAGGTCAGATCTTTGTCGAGTGGAGGCTGTAATTGTTTGGTGAATCTTCTACTCAGTTCCAGTGTGGGGTGGTAGGTGATTGCCAGGGGGGTACAGTCACGGTGGATTTTCTTTTTGTACTGTAGCTGATTGCTGTTGGGTACTTGGATGGCCTTTCAAATGCACAGTCTGTTTCTCTAGTGGAGAGTCCTTGATCTATAAAGATAAGTTTTTGGCTAGTTAGGTGGGAATGGGGGTACAACTTATTATGTCGCTGTCTCTGGGGGTGGAAAGCCTTGGGGAGGCAGGGAGCATAGGTCAAGTGAGTGGTGTGGTCACTTGCCATGTTCTCATAAATCTTTTCATTCCAATAGGTGAGTCTCAAGCATGCAAAAGGATGTGCCTACATCCCTGTGAGGAACTGGCTCTGTAGCAGGGCACTAGGGTGCCTGCTACTCAAAGCGCTGGGATAACCCTTCAGGTGCTGGTTGCTGAGGCAACCAAAGGGAGCTGATGGCTTACACCTGCCTAGCCAGCTGAAGAAAGGGGCAGGGCCTAGCCCCTATATAAAGCACAGGCAGGCGGTTGAAGGCAGTTCCCTGACCAGCAGCTAAGGAGGGAGGAGCTCCTTGCCAGAAGTGAGAAAAACCTGAATGCCAGAGCAGCATTGGTCACCGCAGTAGGAGAGAGAACCCGGTAGGCCTGAGCATTGTTATAGCCAGGAGGCTTATGTTTATGTGGTAGCCAAGAGGCTGGTGTTTGGGTTGTTGTTTGTATTGGCTATTGATTACACTGGTGGTTTGGGTGAGGCTATAAGGGAATGGAGGAGGAATCACGGTAGAGTGAGGACCCCAGCCCCAGTGAGGGCACAGTTTGGGGTGTACAGACCCTAGCTCCAGAGAAGGGCCCAGCGAGAGGGCAGCGTTGCGGAGAAGGGCCCAGCGAGAGGGCAGCGTTGCGGAGAAGAGCCCAGCGAGAGAGAGGGCCGCGGAGGGCCTGAGCGCCAGAGGGGTGTAGGCCAAGACAGTGTTGTACACGCATAGCCCACAAGGCTTGGGTACACAGAACACTGGAAGCAGGGGAACTGTAGCCAAGCAAAAGAAAGGTAGCCTCCCTATAAAGAACTTGCATACAGAGTAGTGGTGGGCGAGAATAGGAGGGTGCAAGTCCGAAGCTTGGCACAGTAAAGGAGGCAACGGGGGAGAGCACAGCAACCCTGACGTCGCTCCTGCCACAGGCTCAAAGCTCCAATGGGCCTTGCGCTGCAGGCAGCCACGGTGGCAGCTTGAGGGCTCTAGGCATAGTGCTGGGTTCTCCCAGGGGAGAAGGGAGAGGGGGACCTCTGCCTTGTGCTGGGCCCTGCCTAGTAGGGGTGTGTAAAGTGGGCCCTATTTGATTCATTGATTCAGATCACTGTCCCTGATTCAGGCTCATATTGTTTCTAAAAGAGATTCTTAATAATGTGTTCGTATTATTTTTCTTGGGGTCCAAACTAGGGTTTGGGCTACTTTTCCTGAATGGATTGCATTTTTCATTTAATAATTGCATTTTTCCTGCAAAATAGTATTTTTTGTAAAAATAACCATTATCAAAGTCACTCACTTCTACAGACTTTTTTTCATTATATAAAATATTTCAATACTATTTTTGGATAACAAATTAATGAAAATTATCTATTATAAATCAGAGACCATTTGGAGGGAAATATTTCATATTTTTTTAAACTGAAAAATTAACAGCCCATTTAGAACTCCTCAAATATATATTTGAATATAAAAAAACTTTCATGGAACCATTTTTTCTCCATCTTTTGATTACCTCTGATCCAAAACAAGACCCAGAACCAATTTGGAGACCCAGAGCCAAAGTGGAAAAGTGTTTCCTGTACAGAATGCAGTAGATGTATTGGGTGCACCATTTGGAATAAGTAAAAGGCTGATTCTCTAAACCTGACACAGTCTCCTATGTTTGGGGACAAAAACATACTTTGAAGGATGAGCACAAAAGGCTTGTTCCATCACAACGGCTCTTCTCATCTCTGAAACCCCTCGATTTCTTGAACCAGACAGGAATTTGGTTGAAGGAGTAAGGAAGAGCACTAAGGGAAAAACAGGGAAGAGTACGGGGATTTTATGTACTGAAAAAGCACATAAATCCAGCAAATGGATAAAATCAAGAGTGTGGGATTGGATTTATTCTAACCTTTTTCAGGAGCTTCTGACAGTTGCTGAGAAACACCTCTCGCTCCCTAGTGTGGCAGGCTTGCCTATCTTCTCCCACTTCCTTGGCCTTAGAGAATTGTCAAGTGATTGATGGGGCAAACCCACCAATCAGAGACCAACAGGGGAGGAGCCTCAGGAAGAGTCCACCCCGCCTCTGTCAGGGGAGATGAGGAGCGAACCTAACTGAAGACTTTAATATATTATATGTAAATATTTATCTTTATCACCTATCCAGTTATTCTATTCTATCCCCTCCCCTTTTATTCTGAACCTGAATAAACCATGGATGTAGTTAAGCTATTGTGTCCTTGTCTTACTCTATAGAGACACTGGAGAAGGGGAAACTGCGAGCAAGCTGCAGTTTCCACCTTCAGCACAGACGCCCAGCTGACCATCCCCTTCTATTGGAGAGGGGAGTATACACTCACACCCAGGTTATACTAATTACAGCAGGTTCTATGTTAGGATGAAGATTAAATGAATCCAAGTCACAGTGAGATTATTTTGGGACCTGCTCTGTGTCATATCATGAAGCTACCACCTGAGCAGACCATGGGGACACATCTCCCCATTTGGCCACTAGGGCAGATAACAAGTGAAGAAACTCACGAAGAGAGCAGATCAGGAGTCGTCAGTGAGGAACCTGAAACATAGGACACATTTCCTCTGTCAGAAGCAGCTGGGCTTGGCATTTGACCTCAGGTGTCAGATATGCCCATAGTGTTTCTCACCATCAGCTCCAACATGTCTTGAGCAGAGCCCATACAATGTGCATTTCATATTCAATCTATGGAGGGCAGATTGTGCTCCCTGGGAGTAGGGATCCAAGTCTGATATCAGGATTTGCTCCTTTCCAAAGGGGCATCCATCTCCTTGGGCCAGAAATGCTCAGGTCTAGGGTTCTTCCTCTTGTCCCCACATATCCCTCCTTGGCTGTTCAAGGGTTAGCTTTAAGGGCAGGGCTGGAGAAGCACGTTCTGGCAAGTGAGAAACACCAGTTCCAATATTCTTTGGTGCACTGGGGCCTAGAGTCTGGGTCTCCCACCTCCTGGGTGAGTGTCCCAACCACTTAGCACTTTCAGCTAACCCTTAGGAGGGCTGCCCTTCTCCTGCTCCTGTGTCTGCTCATCACAGATTTCTGCTGGGCAGTTTCCTGACTTGTGCTCATGCAGTGTATGAGTGTGCAGAGCTGCACACAGCCTACAGTGTGTGCTCGGTAGCCATGTAGGGGCTTGTGTGTCCCCAGCACAGGGAGCAGTCTCTCAACCTGCATGTGAGAGCTACAACAGCGGTTCACTTTTTTTTTTTTTTTTTTTTTTTTTCCCCCCCCATAGAGAAGTAGAGCTGGAAAGGACCTCCATAGTCATGTAGTCCAACCCTCTGCTTAAGGCAGGACCATCACTATCCAAACCATCCTATACAAATTAATTGTCAAAAAACTCTTCATAAAACTACCATCAAACCTGACACAACACAAGACATAATAACCTAACCCCCCGCAGGGGAACCATGGCAACCAATGTCCTGCTTCTAAAAAAGGCTGTTAGTATACTCAGGAAAAAATCACAGGTAGAAGGCCATGCCCCCCACTTCAGAGGAAGGCAAAAATCCCCATAATACATACCAATTGGACCATGGGGTAAAATTCTTTTTTGAACCCAAATATTGGTGATTAGTCTGACCATAAGCAGAGGAGCAAGGCCCTCCAGCCAGGAACCTCCAGCTTTTCTCCTAGCCAAAGCACTGACACACCCCAGTCAAAATCCCCAGGCTTGGTTATAGCCAACACCCAATGCCTCTGAGGGAGGCTTAAAGAAACCTTGGCATATGCAGCAGCAGGAGGGGAAATGTTCCCTACCAGGCCCATGTGGCAACCAGCAAAGCCCAGAAGCATAGGAAATACTTATAGTGGAACATAGATATAGCTATGCCTAGATCATCCTTGAACAGTAGATCATCCGACCATTGGTCTCTACTCCTATTCCTTTTCAGTCCAACCTTTCCTTGAAAACCTCCAGTGATGGTGAGTCCACAACTTCCCTAGGTGTCTTTCCCACTGCCTCACTGTTCTAACAGTAAAGACATTTTTCCTGATATTCAACCTAAACTTACTTTGATGCAACTCCAAGCCATGAGTCTGCATCCTACTCTCCGCAGCAAGAGAGAAAAGGTGCTTTCCCTCTTCTTTCTGGCAGCCCTTCAAGTATTTGAAGACTGCTATCATGTCCTCTCTTAAGTGCCTTTTCTGCAAGCTGAACACGCACAGCTCCTTCAGCCTCTCCTCATATGACTTGCTTTCCAAGCCCTTTTTCATGCTTGCTGTTCGCCTCTGGACCCTCTGTAACTTCTCTATGTCATTTTAAAAATGTGGAGCCCAGAATTTGGACCATCCAGTTCTTCTCTCACTCTCATCTTCATCTTTCTGGGCCTATCTGCACAACAAAGCAAACATCTCCCACTTCATGCAGCATCTGCAGAGCACTGAGGATGAGTTGGTGGAATTGGGTCTCTCTATGCATGCGAGTTGATCCTGTCACAGATCTGTTTGATCCTCACCCAGCACGGGCTGCATTAGTGTTGTCTGGGGTGTACATAGTCTATACAAGTGACCCTTGCTACATTAGAGGTATACCAAAAAGGAAGCCAAGGTCAAAGCCCAGTTTCAGGACAGCAAGCTGAGGGTCAGGGACACACAGGTACATAAGGCAGCTGCCTTCTGTAATTCCTTGGGAAATGTATTTGCCAGGGTTGGGGGTGCTTCCAGGATGTGCATGAAGCCTTAGGAGATTAATCTACCCCTGCCAGCTACTTGGGGCCTGAATAGGACTAAGCCAGCAGCTTGTAGAGAAGGAATAGTGAGAACCATGGCTAAGGGACCTATTCTCTCCTCCCACCCAGTTCTGCACTGCACAGCTTAGGACACATGATCACTGCTTCCCCACTGTGCTGAACTTCCCAAGCCCCTAGGCTGGTGCAAGGCCCTGTTGCAAGTTGCATCACAGGCCTAGGCACCATCATTAGCTCCTGTGTCCAGGCGTAGGGGCTCTCACAATTCTCTAGTTAATAAAGTCTCCTTTTGTCTTAGGTGCTCTGAGGAATGTGCTTTTGCCAGTCCTGGAATCACAGGGGTGGAAAGGACTCCAAAATCACCTAGTTTAACCTCTGCACAAATGCAGGACACTTTCTTCCTCGTCACAGGACAGCTGGAGTCATAGCATAGGTCTGCTGAGTTCCATGCCAGTGCATTTTTCACAAGGGAGAACTGTCCCACCAAGAGCCTTTGGATCACTTTTCTGTGTACAGTAGTGATTTGGACAATGGGATTGTGTGCTTATAAAGTTTGTAGATGACACCGAGTTGGGTGAAGTTGCAGGCACTCTGGAGGGTAGGGCTATGATCCAGAATGACTTGGATAAACTGGACAAATGGCATAGGACCAATCAGATGAAATTCAACAAGGACAAGTGAGAAGTCCTGCACTTGGGATAGAATAATTGCATGTAAAAATACAGACTGGGGAATGACTGGCTAGGTTGTAATACTATAGAGATGGACCCAGGAGTACAGTGGACAATAAGCTGAATGTAAGACAACAGTGTGCTCTTATTGCCAAGAAGCCAACAGCATTGTGGGTTGTATGAACAGGAGTGTCACCTGCAAATCAAGGGAAGTGATTCTTTCAGTCCATTTGGCACTGGCGAGGTCTTCACCTCAGGGTACACAGTAGCGGCAGCTCTGGCACTGACACAGGACATGCCATGTGGCTAGTAACAGAGAAGATAGGGCAAGTGTGCGGGCAGTGGCCATAGCAATGAGCTAAGTGGCCATGGGGCAACCAGGGTGGCATCAGCTGTCACTTGCCCTCCTTTCTCCACTCGCCATGTCAACTAGAGTCCAAGGGGTCCAAGTTCTGCAACAACCCACTCCCATCCTGGCCATGCCCCTAACTTTTTGTTGCCTGGCGGTAGCCTATGGGATTGAATAGAGCTGTCCTGAGGACCAGATACATCCCACAGGCCACATGTTTGTCACCCCTGCACTATGAAGCAGTTTCCCAGTTGGATAACCAAATATTTCCTAAAGTGCAGAATGACTCACAAATCATAATCAAGCTGTATGCTGAGAGATGAGTCCCATGGATCCTGGTTTTCTCTCATTTAAAAAAAAAAAAACTCACTCTCTAATTTCCAGGTTAAAAAAGTAATCCTAAAGCCACATTTTTCCATGATCAAAATGAAACACCATTATACAGATGTCTATATATTAGTGGTGCTTCATTTTAATCATGGAGCAATGTGGATTTTGGGTTTCTTTTTTTAACCCCAAAATTGGAGATTCTTTTTTTATCAGAGAAAACCAGGATCCCCGGAGATGACACTGGATGTACATACAGACCCTTGCGCTCTATGGGTTTCAGTGGGCTTGCAAGCACCTGGCTAATGTTGAAGGGCATGCTCAGTGCTTTGTAGGCTAGAGATAAGCTGCTGCATCAGGCACATGAGAGCAACAGCAGCTTTTTTGGTTAACACTGAATTTAACCCTGAGCATCTAACTTCTATTTTCTCTCTCTTTCCCCATCCCTAGCTTGGCTTTCACACCAGGCCCATGCCCTGGTATTTGGGTGCCTGCAAGTCAGCACTGGATGAGGAACCTGGGGCTGAGCTCCCTGCAGGGTGTCTGTGCTGGATGAGGTTCATTTGGGGATTGTAACAGGTAACTGTTCTGGGCCGAGCTAAACTGTGACCCGCACACCTGTTCCTGAGGCCACCCCCTCCCTTCTCGCCTGCCATGCCTTGATGTTAATTAATTAGTTGATGTTAATTAGCGGGAGGCTGCCATTGTACTGCCCCGTTGCCAGGGGGCGCTATCTGCAGCTCTTATCCTCCCCAGTACCGCAGCCCAAGCCTCACAGATGGAATAGCTGTTATGCCTCGGCCTTTTCCCCAATCAGGACCCTCTTTGGGCTTTCTCAAGTGTCGCCCCCTCCTCTGGGGCTCACCACGCCCGCTCTGGGGCTTCTCAACCATGCCCCCTCTCTGGGGCTCGCCACACCC